CTGACACGTGTCACATCCACACAGGGGACAGTGGAGAGAAAAACAAACATTAGTGAGGACTGTCTAGAGATTATATGTACATGTACATTAACCAAAGAACTTTAATTCATCCTAAAGGGAAATTAAAGGTAGATTCACACCAGCCCCGTTTAATCTGCACTAATCAAACGATAGTCTGTTTCTCCAGAAAGTCCATTTGTGGTGGTGTGAATGTGCAATCAAACTCTGATGCGGTGGATTCACTGCAGTCCGCTTCAAACACACTCCAGCACATTTGATCAGCTGGTTTTACTGCTATATATACAGTAGCTGCTAGAAAAGACAAATGTTTTGCTGTTGACTTATTTGTAGTTGTTCTTTAACACATAGAAATATTTTAACTAATGTGACTGACACATAACAGGAAAAAGTTTAGTTTGATTTACACACAATGAGAAAAAAAGTTACACCTCTTTTTTGTAGTATGAGGAAATTGTTTGTTTCCATGTTATTTGTTAAAAAAACACACAATAACAACAATCAGAACATTTTGTTGCTCCAGAAAAGCCTTTGAGGGCGTAAATGATGATTTCTGATTGGTGGTTTCTGCTCCCTTTGTTCGGCAGTCGTTTTTCTGGCGGCTGCAGTAATCATTTATGTTGTGTGTCACTGCCTTTCACCGGCTCCGATTCCCCATGGCCCAACCACTTGTTCTGAGCAATAAGCTAATTGATTGAAACATTCATCATCATCCAGGACCATGTTCTGCCATGAGACGTGCCCAGAGGGCGGCCATGTCCCAAAAAGCTACAAAACACACTAATGAAAGTGCTGACAGTGAAAGATGGCAGCAAATGTTCACCTTCATCAGCACAAGTTTCCTTCTCAAACAGGAAATTCAGTTGCATTTGTAGATGATCGTTTTTGTGTTTGTTATTAACACAATTTGGTTATGAGACAGGCGTACAAACATTATCAAGGGAATTTTTATGCTTTCACTTAGCTAAATAAATGCAGTCAGTCTAACTTCATTAATTAGAATAGATTGCTTTTGACATGTAGGCTCCTGTAAATCAAACAAGAGTTATATTTTGTTTGCTGGGGGAAACTGTGATGTTAAAACCCAAACACAACTCGTAAAAACTGAATTTACATTTGTCAGATTAAAAGCACCTTTGGAAAACAACCTATAAGAGGGTATCAAACATATTTTTGAATGTTTTTTATTGGTTCATTAACTGGAAGCAAAAAATAATGATCTTTAACATACATAAAACCTTTAAAACTAATGTCTGTGGGAAAATAATCATTACAATGGGCTTAACTTGTGAGTTGAGCTTTAAAAATATACAGACTTTTCATTAATATTATAATTTACACTCACACATTATAATGGGTGGAAACAAAAGAGCAATTATACAACTCTTTGAATACCAGAAGTGGAGCTTCCTGCACAACCAACAACAATGCAGCAAGTGGTTTTTGGATGGCAAGTCAACAACAAAACTCTTGTCTTCTCCAGCAGCCATTGTACAGGGCATACAACTGTTGACCAAATGTGCTGGAGCTCTGCTAGGGTTGCTGGACAATGTGTATTGCTAAGTGAGGGGAAGTGCTTGCTGATTTGTGATGTGATTTTAAAGAGCTAATTTTCCAGACGCAAACAACAACACAAACACAGCTGGAATGATATTTTTAGCGCCTGAACTGCTTTTAGAAGCAGGAAAAAACAAAAAAGGAAGAACAAAATGAGAATTTTTGCATAACAGGTCCCATTTAAGTCTTTAAAAATCCTTCATGAAAAGCAGAAGTGGAGCCTCCTGCACAACAGAGATGCAAATTTGCCTGCACAAAAACTGCTGACATGCAAAAAGTCGCATTCATATAAAAATGTTCATTGGACAAAAGGGATTCTTACTTTTTAAACCAGTTTTAATGCTGTTTGAATCAAATGAAACATGGTGCATATCTTGAATTGAAGAGTTTATTCTTTTTAACAGTATGTAACAGAATCAGTAATGGTACATTATTATCAGTTTCCATCTCTACCCATCGCGGATGTGAAAAAAATTAACTTCAGATGTGTGATCAAAATTAAAACCGTAGCAGACCAGGTTGCATTTCCAGAAGGTAAGCCGTCTCTTACCACCTCTAACTTCCTAACAAGAAAGCTGTAACAGAGAGGGCGATAGCTTACTGTAATTCCTATTTGCACAGATGTGTAATTCATCTTTTGTTTATGGAACCGGCATGACACTAATGAGCGCTTGTGCACAAAGAAGCTGTCATACAGGGAAGATCGCAGGCTGCCGCGCGCTACGACCACAACAACGTCTTATCAGTCGAGCAAAGTTCAGATACACTCCTGCGCTGACAGCACACACAGATCGGTGTTTTTCAAACAAACATGCCATCAACTGTGTGTTTCCATCTTTACAACACACACACACACACACACACACACACACGGTCAAAAGCTACTCTTATTGAATATACACAGAGTGGAAGTACTCAGACAAAGAGTGATTAATTATTAATGGAGGCTCACTACCATACATTACAACACATGCATTATGAAGGAGTTTCATCTGCAGCGTGTCTGTGAAATCTATCAGTGTTCAAGAGGCTGAAGCTCGTTTCATTGGCTCACCTCATCTGGAAACGTTAATAAGCTTAAATAAGTCTAATATTTGGGTAACTGTTGGGTTTTCCGTCCATGGCACTGTCAAATCCTCACCTTATGATGAAATGTCAATCTTTAATTTCTGTATATTTCTCTTTAAATTTTTGGCCCAAACCAAATAAATCATTTCAGAAAAATGAAGCTCATAGCAGCTGTGGATAATGGAGGTGGAAGTATCACGCTTAACGCATTGTCCAATGCATAAACCAATATGTTTGCCTGTAAATAAATTATTTTCTCCCTTAGACATCAATATGTGACCATTTCTTATTTAAAGTGGTCAGACAGAAGAAAACCTTTATTGTTGTAGGCTAATAATTACATGAACAGGCTTCAACCTATTCATCTTTGAGTAAACTATGGCTTGTAAAGTAGTATTGTTTTTGCTTGGATAATTTATCAAATCAATAAATTTTTTTCCCAATATTACATATTTATTACCTTTATAGTCTCTCCTTGGTTAGTTATGTTTTCATATTTATTTATTTTTCTTCTGTGATGATAGGTTAAGTAAAAAAACAGCATGCTTTGGTTAAAAATCAAAGCACGCTTGATTTAAAATAAACAATGCTAAGCCACATACATTTCCTCTATTCTTACATCTCAGTTTCCACCTGCTAAATGTTTTACTTGGGTTTTATGTTCTGACCCTGGAAGCAGACTCTTGAGACTTGAGCCTCTTTTTGTTACTAATGGTTACAAACTTACTCTGCTTGTTTCGTGCAAGGTGGTGCATTCGGTGTCCACAAACAGAAACACATCATATTTCATCGCAGCGCGGCCTTGATGGAGGTAATAACTGAGACGGGTTGTTGCTGCCTATCACAAAACTTCATGAGGAATCATGACGTCTTTCTTCCCTACAACCTTTTTTTTTTTTTAAACAATCTTTAAAAATCTATAACGGAGAATGATGGAATGTTTTTTTTTTTATTTTGTTATGTCTGTAATGTTTGAAAGATGTTGAAGCAGTTTTGAGTTTAATCTGTTTTTGTTCAAGAATACTATTATGTCTTTTAATGTTTGCAAAGCATTTTTATTGTAATGTTTGGTGTGGACCCCAGGAAGAATAGTTTCTACTACAGTAGAACCAAATGGGAATTACAGCTGTTACGATTCCTCAAATGATTGGAGAAATTTCAATAATTCCTCGAGGAAAATTATCTGCCTCAAAGCTTTACTAAATTATGTTTTATTATTTAGCTGACTGTGTTCCAGGAGGGTGATTATTTATATTGCGCAGCGCTCTCACTGCCGCCAGAATTATTGACGAATGCTAAGTGTTAGCAGCATAACATCCAATTTTCAAGCCAGGTCCGGAGAATACGGAGGTATTTCATTGAGTTATAATCAAATCCAGGGTTTTGTCATTTTTCTGGGGGACTAATAAGAATCCTTAAAATAAGTGGTGCGATGCCTGGAGTACAGCAGACTTTCTTGCTTCCTGGTGGCCGATTCAGAGCAAACGGTGGTGAAGAGCGCAGCGGGTGTATTTATACCGGTGAGCAGATAAACTGAACACTGCGGGCTGCTGCGTTGTAATTGATGCTTGACATAAACTGCAGCTTTACAGATGAACCGGAAAATAAATTTCATATCATCCCAGTCTCAACAAATGGGTGGCGGAGCACATCATGGCCGCCACCCATAGATGAGTTTCTGAGTGTAACGAATAAAGGTGTCAAATTCCCATTGTTAACACAAAAACTATGGATGGCTGGGCAAGGTGAGAGTTCATCTATTAAATTTAATCCCTGGATCTGTATTATTAAATTGTATATAATTTCACATTTTTGTATAATTTATGTCCATGTTAACTTAAAAAGTGAGCTACTATTGTTAAAGGTTAATTTTCTGAACTACAGAAAAGTAATTGTTAGGAATGCTTAAATATTAAAAACTGGGCTGATATCCAACAGTTTATAGATATCAGCCCAGTTTATGGCAGTATTTACCAGTGCTTTATTTTATAAAATGTTTTATTCTATTATTCATCAGAATAACTGACAGAATACTCAATTACTCAAATGATTGTTCACAACGGCCCTGATGGGGATCCTTCAATAAACAAACTGCAGCTTAGCGGTTGCAACTTACAGACATTGATGGAAAACTCAGAGCGTACATCTGAGTTCATAAATTTAAAAAGACAGCCTTGTTACGTGTCAGCCAGCAGTAACGGTAACACTGAGAAGTAATCAGACCTCCATCCATTTTGTCACCAGTCATGCTGATTTACTGCTTTTCCTTTCAGAGCTTCTTGGGGTGGTGGGTGTATTACAGTTCACTTTCCAAAGCCAATCGATCCCTGTCTGGGCCTCGTGTCCGGTGCACTCACCTCCATAGTGCTCAGGTTGCATCGATGGGTTCCAGCAAACCAGCCGTCAGTAGAGCACTGGTCGATATCAACATCCTGCAGATTAACGTCCACCCGCACCACGCCCCTACAACACAGGAGGACATGACGCTCAAAGAGGGAACCGACGATCAATTCATTGACATTTAGCTGCATAACTATTGGCATACAACAAAACCTAACATACTTTCTTCTGGATTTTGAAAAAGTTACTGTGGAAAAGTTTCCTTAAAAGGCAGCAGATTAAAAAGTTAAGTTTGTTGAGTCGATCTCAGTTTCATTTTGGGTCATATCAAAAATCTGAATGTTCTTAAAGGGCTGGTTGTGCCAGAATGTATTGATAAAACCCATTAAACTGTTAAACATTCTGTAAGTGTTTCTTAAAATGAAATAATATTCATCATCTTTTCATATTGATCAGTTCAGCCAGGACTTTGTGATTATTTACCATATTTTTTATGATATTTGTGTTAATGTTTGATGTTAAATGTGACTTTTTATTAATCGTCTGATTGGTCATGGACTGACATCAAGTAAGGCTGAGGGAGCAGTCTCTTAGACCCAATGATCTGTTGATTTGATGTAAATTTTGAAGATAAAAACTGGACAGGCTTATTGATGTAATTTGGAGCATAGAGAGCCACATTTGCAGTGAAAAAGTGAACAACAGCAGTTGAAAATGTAACAAATGTTGTAAATTTGGTCCCAAATCAAACCAAGTACCAGACTGTCAGGTGTGCAAACTCCCATAAAGTGCGCTGCAAAATACAACAATCTTAAATAAATTTCTCTCTCAAATAACTTAAAATAACCAATTTAAGCCCTTAAATAAGCTCAGTGATACCAGTGAGCTATCATCTCTGATTCTGGCAAGTCTTTTCTCTGTTGGGGGAAGCTGTAACCCAACAAGAGTAAAAAGTTACTTTATTTACCTCTTTTATTATTTAAATATAATTAATGATGGCTGAAATGTACCCCTTTGACCTCAGCCCACACACTTGTGCTAAACTTAAAAATAAAGAACAGCTGGAGGCAAATCTGTGCCGACTCACAGCTTTGTGAAACTCTGGTTGTTCAACACATCTCTGCTGTTTCACGACATTTGAGATTTTTCCTTCACTTTCCAGATCATAATTTCTCTTCATGGAAAATTGCATACAGTAAAGACACTCATAATGAGAGGAAGGAAGATGATGGCAAGTAGCTTCCAGCAGAAATAAGACAGGAATTGACTAAGCATCTTGGTTGGCTGTTAAATATAGATGCACATAACTTCCCAGTACAAATTACCATCATGTTATTCATGTAGATTTCCAGTACAGCTGTAATAAGGACCAAAGCAGTTTTAGCAAAAATAATATAGATTTGTTTTAATAATGCATTTTGTCACCTTTTGCGTCAATAAAAGTGTATAATAGTTTCACAACACAGTAATGAACAGGAGTTATATACAATATATTCATCACCTGTAAAAAAAAAAATAATGTTGTATTAAGACTTTATCTACAACACTGTAATTATGCCACTGTACCGCAGCCATCCAACTGTTCAGGTCTAATACAGATAATGTTTTCATCCCATCATATTTCTTTGTTCATTCACACCAATCGCTTGTACTTCTCCCAGGACCATTAAGCCCCATTTGCTGATGCAGCAACAAAGCCATCCATTACCCACCAATAAAGAGAAGCACAAAGGTTGGGGGAAGAGACTGGATGTGACTCCTTCAAACTCAGAATCTCAGTTTCCCTCTCTAATGCTACTTAAATGTACATTTTTATGTCAAATAAAACAGTCTGGTCAAAGACAAATACAGCAAATATAGTAAACAATCACGTAACTTGTGTAGCATCTTCTCAATACGGAGGGATAAATAGTCAACAGTAAATGTCAGCTAGAAATAGTCCTTTCTGGATAAATCTTAGCTAAAAATATACTAAAAACTAAAAATATGTTGCAAAATCTGAGGCCAAAAGTGAAACTGAGGACTTTATGTTCTCCGCTACATGACAGCCATTTTTAAAAATATTTACCGGAAAAAGGAAACCCAAGATCAAGACAATATCTATGATTTCTACAGCTCAAAATATGTATGATTTGACAGCAAACACATTCACCTAAATGGTGATCAAATGTTTTTACAGTTTATGCCGTTGGGAGCTTTCAGCTGGACATGAAGTTGAGAACAATTTATCTCAGCTATTTAAATCAAGTTGGATGATAAGTAAGTAAAATGCTTTTCATGTTGGTATTGAATTAGTTTTTGATTCTGTTGAAATAGTGATGTTTGATAACAAACAAAGGTAGCCTCAATCAACCATCAATTAATATAAAAACATTGAATATACAAGATTAAACAGTCCTGTCAAGACCAATACACACACACACAGTTCCACAAATGCTGCTGCTTCGGGGTGTTCTCCAGGTATCCAGGAGCCTGGACACACCAGGCGAGTGCAAGCCTCTTTCTGTCTGTACTCTTAATAATAATTGCTGGTTTGGTCCTTCTTTGGGGCAAACTGCTGTGCTGCTGATTTAGCTGAGGAATTACTTCCCAGTTTTTGTATGTAATCCACCCAAACTTGAGGATTTGTTTCTGCTTCCATCTCCCTGGTGGTCTTTTTACACACAGACATATGGTGTGTAAAATAGCTTGTGAGAGAAGAGAGAGAAATAAAAGCGAACGTCTGCCGGGCAGGACACAGAGTTAATGGCTGAGAGAGTGGCAGAGGGGCTGGTAATCTGAGAGTGACGATGAGGAGCAGAGGCATCATGGTGGCCATCGAGGCCCATGGGCATAAAGACAGGATTACCACAGAGAGTCGGAGATACAGGCGCCCCAGGAAACGGAGAGTTCAGTCATTTCATACGCCATTTTTTGTGCGTTTAAAGGCCTGCACAGCGAAGAGAGACTGGCACCTTTTCTTTACCGTATTTTGTCCTGAAGTTGACTAAAACTGTTGAAAACATGGAACCAGCTCCACATAATTAGCTCCATCTTGCTATGATTTGTAAACATGATCCTGATAAGAGAGCTAATGAAAACTAGAAGTCACTTACAGAAAAGCTAACAATGAATCATCAGGAAGTTGGGGTAATTTCACAGTCAATGAGGAATGGAAAAAACTGAGGAGCTTAAATACTAAGGGAGAGGTGACAAAAAAAACAAAGTAGCTAATCAGAAGTAAGTAGAGGCAGCTAAGCAGAGAAGATGTGAAACAGCAAGGAAGGGAAAGATAAAAGATAAACTAAGCTACTGAGCTACTTTTAGAATGAGTTGTTTGCAGGCGCCTTGTCACTTTTAATCCAAATAAGGTCTTGCTGGTCATACCTTCAACTCACGATCAAATGGCTACAAATAGATGCGCAATTATACAACTGTACATCTTTGAAAAGCATTAGTAGAGCCTTCTGCACAACCGATAAGAACACAGCAGCTGGTTTCTGGAAAGTAAGCCAACAACAAAACAATTTTCATTTGTCATTTCCAGCAGCCATTGTAGAGAGGTAAATCCAGCTGACCTGACAGGACGGAGCTCAGCTAGGCAATAACGCAGTGCCGGTCGAGTGTGACATTTTATTTGTTTATTTCATTCATTTAGTTTGAAATGAACATGTCACATGTTGATAAACAAAAGTTTAGAATGAAAAGCAGCAGTTGTAAGAAAAAAATATAACATAGCCAAAGCCTTCTCTCAAATTTATCCTAAATTTTCACTGGATGTGAGTGAAAAAGCAGCCAAAATACAAAGAAAAGGTTTGAGAGACATTCATAATACTAAGAATAATTTATGAAAAGGATTAACAGCAGGTCTTTGTCTAAGATTTGAAAAAAATTATATACAGCTCTGAAAAAAATTAAGAGACAATTGAAAACCTCATGGTTATTCCACCATATATTGATTTTTGAACTCTTCCTGAGTTAAATCATTAGTATTGTTGTTCCTAAATGAACATGAACTTGTTTTCTTTGCAGTATTTAAGGCCTGAAAGCACTGAATCTTTTCTGTTATTTTGACCATTTCTCATTTTCTGAAAATAAATACTAAATTTTGGCTTTAAATTTCAGCAACATGTTGTCAGTAGTTCATAAAATAAAAGAACAATGTTCATTTTACTGAAATATAAACCTATAAAAAGTCAGATCAGAGAAACTGATACTTTTAAGTGCTATCTTAATTTTTTCCTGAAAAATATGAGTTCTGAATTAGTATGAATTTATAGTGAATTGTAATTTGAAAAGAAAAAAATGGTAAAACTTCCATTAAAAACAGAAATTGCATTTGCTCTACAGATTTAATCCCATGTTTTTAATGATGAAACATTAAGTTATTAGTTATTTCAACAAGAAATTAAGTATTTTTAACACTTGAAATAGTTATAATTACTCAAACTATTGTTGAAATAACTATGTAAGCGTTAAATTAATGCCAATTCTGACAAATAGACGCTGCAGAATTTGTTGTGTATGTCTAAGGAGCAACAGTCTAAAGAAGTTGATATTGATGCACAAAAGGAGAAATGTCAGCTAAGAATAATCCACCTTGTTCAAACCCAAACACATGTCCAAGAAAGACCTGAATGCACGCTCTATGGCCCGATAGGAACATGTCTGTCCTTTGAGAGCGGCCAGGTCTCTGCATTATGTCACGCAACGATCACAATGCGAGAGCCGGCTGGGTCTTCCCAATGAAAACGTCTCCTGTGTCTCTCCCTTGATGGAAATGCATTAAGTTGACAGGACGCGCCGGAGCTAATGCGAGTCAAGCCGCCGGGCACAATGCTGCTCGACTATGAGCATTTCAGTGCAGGCCGGGTCATTTTATTGAGTTCTGTCGCCGAGCATCAAAAGAGATGTGGCAGCCGCGGGGCGAAAGGAGCTGCGATTGAATGACAATAAAGACTGCTTCCATTTTGGTTCTTTCCATCTCACTTTCTGCATTCCTGATTTCAAAGGACAACAAAGTAAGGTGTTTTCTGAAATTCAGACAAAACGTGTTGCAGTTATAAAACAGTAAACTTAATTAACTTCACACATCCAAAAACATAAATGATAACTTTCAGAAATAGAAGTTCACATATATAGCT